ACTCTTTACCCCGGTACATAATCCATTCCTTTATAAACATTTTTTTTCTAATTAATCTGTATTGACCATCATTAATTAATGTTAATCAATATTTTTAAAAAACATTGTATTTGATAGAATAAACCTGATGATGGAACGTACCTAGTTCCGAAACGTCGTATTAAACATCTTCAAAAAACAAATTGTTTTTTATTATTGGATTTACTGTTCGGAAAAGAAACAATCAGTATGTATATATGTATATATGTATATGTATATATATGTATATATGCGTAGGTTTATATGAGTGTACTTATGTATTTTTGCCTATATTTTTTAATTATTTATTTAATTCTAGTCTCTATTACCTTTCCTATCTCTTATATTTTGTTTGTTGTTAAGTGTTGCTGTTTGTTAATTTTTCTCTTATTTTATAGTTACTATACCAATCCACATATATTATAATTACCTAGATATACTAATTTTCATACTGTTTTTAGATCCACTGATGATGACATTAAATTGAATGTCGAAACGTTTGGAATTAAAGATTATTTTATAAACCTTTGCCTTTTCTTTGTTTGATGTATCGCCCTCAAGAACTCACTCATATATTTCAACATCAAAATTAACTACTAAATCATATATATATATATATATATATATATATATATATATATATATATGTATATATAATATAGAATTTTATGATATGAGTGGAACGAATATTAAATGTTTGATATGAACAAAACAGCACTCAGATTTTTTTAACACATTTAACACATTTAATTTTTAACTTTATTTTATGATTACAAACGTTTCGAGACCATGGTGTACCTCATCATCAGTGTAATTTCAATAACAGTTACTTATTACTAAACATTCTTTAATATTTTATTTAAAACTATATTTTGACTTTTTAATATAAAACATCAACTATGATTTGATGTCTGATAATTTGATGTGCATACGTCTAATGATTATTTTTGATTTCAAAATGGCATTTTTTTTTTACTTTTGATACTACATCTCCGAAACCGCTAGACCTGCCTTTAAAATTTAATAAGTTCTTCGTCTTATCAATACGAGTGAAATGTTTTTGGAATTATTAAAATCGGACGCTCCGTTCTCTTGATAACTGTGTTACCGTTTTTAGCACTTTTTGCCTCGTATCTTCGGAACGGCTAAATCTGTTTGTGCAAAAACTAATCAGCACGCCTCCTTATTAATAGGAATTGAATGTTTTTTGAATAATTGAAATCGGTTGAACCGTGTTCCCGAAATCGTCGACGAAAATTTGTATCCGCACACACACACATACATCCATTTTTTCTAAGGTATACCAAAATGTTCAGAAACCTCTGAAACGTAAAGATATATAAAATTTTTCATTTTTGATTTTTTTGCGATTACTACCATAACATACCATACGGAAAGTTAAAAATGGTTGTACCTCTCTTAATTTTTTCAACAATTTAATTTTATAAATACTCGACTGATATAATCAGACTACAAATTAATATGCGATATTATGTAAAAATATGCGTAAAAACTAATTTTATTTTTTATTTTCAATATCATTTCAAAAATGTTGGGTTATTTCTAACTAGCTGTAAGTGGAATTCTGTCTTAAGGCAATTAGGGCATCGTGCCTTAAGGCAAATTGCTGGAACTTCCCGTACCAAAAATTATTATTTTTTTTAAAAACGATTAACATTTTTGAAAAAAATTTACTTCAAAAAAATTAGATTTTTGAAAAACTATAAATTTGATAAAAAATTACTATTTTTTGAAAAAAAAAATTAGTTGAAAAAAAAATTTTTTTTTGAAAGAATTTTTTTTTTTTGAAAACAAAAATTTTTTTTAAAACAAAAATGTTTTCTTCATTTTGACATATTTTGGAAATTCTGAACTCTTTTTCAATGCAATCGTACTGCTTGAACTGCATAGAGAAGAAATGTCACAGCGCAAGTGCCGCGCCGCCGCCTAACGCATAAGCATTGGTACGGAACCCATAGAAATGTGAAAAAAAATTATACTTATTGTTAAAATCTCTATAAAATATCTGATAATTTGATATGCATATGTCTAATGATCATTTTTAACCGCCGAATAGCATTTTTTTTTTACTTTTTTCATTAGATCTCCGAAACCGCTAGACCTGCCTTCATAAAAATTTGATCAATTCTTCATCTTGTCAATACTAGCTGTAAGTGGAATTCTGTCTTAAGGCAATTAAGACATCGTGCCTTAAGGCAAATTGCTGGAACTTCCCGTACCAAAAATTATTATTTTTTTAAAAACGATTAACATTTTTGAAAAAAATTTACTTCGAAAAAATAAGATTTTTGACAATTAGACAAAAAATTACTTTTTTTTTGAAAAAAAAATTTTTTTTAATTTTTTTTTTTTTGATAAAAAATGTTTTCTTTATACATATTTTGAAAGATCTCAACTTTTTTTTTAAAGCAATCGTACTGTTTTAACTGCATAAAGACGAAATATCAAACCGCGTAAGCGCCGCGTCGACGTCTAACGCCTAAACATTGGTACGGAACCCATAGGAATGTAAACCAAAATTATACTTATTGTTAAAATCTCTATAAAATATCTGAAAATTTGATGTGCATATGTCTAATGATCATTTTTGACCGCCAAATGGCATTTTTTTTTACTTTTTTCATTAGATCTCCGAAACTGCTAGACCTGCCTTTATGAAAATTTGATCTGTTCTTCACCTTGTCAATACAAGTAAAATGTTGAATTATTAAAATCGGACGCTCCGTTCTCTTAAAAACTGAGTTACCGTTTTCGGCACTTTTTGCCCCGTATCTTCGGAACGGCTAGACCTGACTGCGCCAAAAACTAATCAGCACGTCTCCTTATCAATACGAATCGAATGTTTTTTGAATTATTCAAATCGGTTGATTGGTGTTCCCGAAATCGTCGACGAAAATTTGTATCCGCACATACATACACACACGCACACACACATACATCCATTTTTTCTAAGGTATGCCAAAATATTCAGAAACCTTTGAAACGTCGAAAAAAGCAAAAATTTTCATTTTCGATTTTTTTGCGATTACTATAACTTGCCCTACGGGAAGTTAACAAGTAAAATGTTTTTTGAATTATTCAAATCGGACGCTTCGTTCTCTTAAAAACGGATGTACCGTTATTGGCACTTTTTGCCCCGTATCTTCGGAACGGCTAGACCTGCCTTCGCCAAAAACTAATCAGCACGTCTCCTTATCAATACGAATCGAATGTTTTTTGAATTATTCAAATCGGTTGATCCGTGTTCCCGAAATCGTCGACGAAAATTTGTATCCGCACATACATACACACACGTACATACATACATACATACACACACACACACACATACATCCATTTTTTCTAAGGTATGCCAAAATGTTCAGAAACCTTTGAAACGTAAAGATATATAAAAATTTTTATTTTCGATTTTTTTGCGATTACTATAACTTGCCCTACGGGAAGTTAAAAATAGTATTGTTAGTTAAATTTGTAAAATCGATCCAGCTGTTTTTGAGAAAACGCCGACGAAATGTCAAAAATCGGCTCATATATACACACAGATACATTTTCCAAAGTTGGGTACAATCGATTTACAATGACTTAAAACGTTGAAAATATAAAATTAGTAATTCGGACTTTTTTGCTAAAACATAAACTTCTTCTTCGGGAACAAAGCTTTACCCATCATTTACGTTTTTGGAGACGCAACCTTTTCGACAGATATAGAAAAAATGTATATACCCCGATCACCAAATACAAAATGGCTGCCATTATTAATTTAATATTTTTGTTAAATCATTTTCAAATAATTAATTCGTTTTACTCTTAAATTTTTCATAAAGACGTTATACTTCTTAATATTACAATAAACGAAAAGATTTACCTGACTAGCGTCTAATCTGGCGTGGAGGCAAATTTTTCTTCAAGTTTAACGAAAGCAAATATTGGATATTAACGATCCTGGCTTTTATTTTATTCAACAGTGCCAAAAACAAAAGAGCAACTATTATTATTATCTGTGAAAAAAAAAGATTTTTTAGTGCCATCTGTCGAGGATTTGAAAACAATATAAACGTTATAAAGTTATAAACACGTCAATTACAAAAATAACAAATTCATTATTAGCACTTATTAAGCATCATAGAAGCTCTAATGTCAAACGCTTTCATAATATATTGTAATTTGGATAATCAATCAATGTTTCTAAATTGTAATTTACAACTTAACTGCTTTCATATGCAAGTCAGACCCATAATCTCAGAAACAGTTCAGATATAACTGATTATTATCTATAAATTATAGTTAACATATGTATTACTCGCTGTTTTTAATTAAAAAGTTTTCAAAATCGTTATTCTCAAAAAGCAGTTGTGTAAATGACTAAAATCACTATTAGCTTTGTATATATCAATACTACGTAAATAAAATCTTTTTATTACCTGATTATAGCTGCCTGCATGATTTTAATTTATTATTAACTTTTTTCGGGGTAGGTTTTATTACTGATTCAACTAAACTTGAATGAAAAAGATGTTTACGTTCGTATGATTTCCTTTTCCATATTGGGAAAGCCCATAGAATGCCAATTTCTTGCAAAGGTTAGGTGTCAAAACATAGCCAAGATGATAAAATGTCAATTGAACACTTTAAAGCTGTCAAATGTCAAATATTATATCTCCAATTTAGTTAATATATTTCTAAGTAATTTTAAGTAAGCTTATTTAAAACATTTAATATTATTTATAAATCAATGGATTTTTGATAGCTGTGAGCGCCATCTATGAATGGTGTCATAAATACACACTTTTGCATGGTAGTTTTGTGTCTATACATTCGAAGTACAGAAGTCAGAAATACTTCAAGTCAAATGTAAATGTCCGTGATGTTGTGAGTTTATGTTTATTGTTTTTTTCGAAATGTAATACATGTTGTACACGCAAATAAATATTGTAGGTAATATTTTACCAAGTGTTCAATAAATTTTTATCTCATCAATATAGTGTATGATGGATTTAATATGATCACAAAGTTGGAAGTGGTTTGAGCTGGGTGTTATAGACAGATCTGGAGAGAAAACTTCCAAGATGGAATTAAACGCACTGCCTTACGATGTCGAAGTTAAAAAGGAAATTGGTGAAACAAATAGGGATTCAATTGACACACAGGTTCAAAGATGTTCTACAAATGTATCAAGTGCATATATGTCAGATATTATTTATAACAGATGGATTTACTTTCTAGAATGCTGATTTTGTTGAACCAAGTTCCAAAGAATCACAGGCTCTAATGCAATGTGTATGGTGCCTTTTAAACTTAAGGTCAAATGACAATCCTAAATTATTGGAATGTTTACACGCTGCTTGTGATCAATGTTTGACACAGAAGTTGGCAGAGAGCGTATTGCCAAACGCAAATGGTAATGTTTATAAAACTGATTATTGAAATCAATACATCTTTCAGGATTTATTTGCCATTTAATCTAATGTTGATTCAACACTTAATGGGCAGATCCCATAGATTTGTTGTTTTTTTCTGATCTCCTGGACTGGCCACGTACATCTACGTTTTTGCATAAAAGTATTATTCATAGTACAATCTATTCGTTGCTCTTATGGCAAGTATTGATTTTAAGAAATAATTCTAAACTAGTGATGTATGGCATCGTGCCTTAAGGCAAATTGCTGGAACTTTCCGTACCATAACGAAATGTTTGAAGAATATTAAATGTTTTCAAAAAGATTATTATAAATTCTGTAATATCGTCTATTATTTATAAGAATTATATAAACTGAATTGCAAAGTTAAAATTATTAACTCAAAGTATATATGTGGGCTTTAGAACTTTAACCAGAATTAAAATTGAAATCTGAATTATTTTCGATATTAACAAAAAAAATATTTAAAAATAAATTTAAATGAGATTTTTTTTCCAAAAGCAATTATTTCGTTAACACAAGCAGAAAGTTTTTTGAATCATTCAAATCGGATACTTATTTCTCTCGAAAACTGCCATTTTTTGTACATGTAGCTCTGTATCTTGTAAATGGCTGGACCTGCTTTTGCTAAAAACTAATCACCGCTTCTCCCAATCATTACAAATTGAATGTTTTTTAGATCATTCAAATCGGATGCTCTGTTCTCTCGAAAACTTGATTTTTATTTTCTGTTGGACCTACCTTTTCCAAAAACTAATCAGCACGTATCCTTATCAATATGAATCGAATGTTTTTTGAATTATTCAATTCGGTTGATCAGTGTTTTCAAAATCGTCGACGAAAATTTGTATCTGAACACACACACACATACATTGATTTTTTTTCTAAGGTATGCCAAAAACATAAAGATTTTACCTGAAAAATGCCCTGAAACTAGGTTAGGCAAAAGGTTAGACAAAAAGATTCAACCTGTTTAAATTCTGTTAAGTGTTAATATCTTTATTTACCTTGCTAGTGTTTACAAACATATATCTAAATCAAAAAATTTAAATTTCAAATACTATTAATAAAATTATGATATTAAATAATAATTGAGTTTCGACATATTATTGAGCTTTTTCTTAATTTGCAAATTATATCACTAATTTATAATTGCCAACAAGTAGAATATGTCTTTGTTATCCATTGTAGTGCAACCTCATACAGTGTCATGTGCTTTGTGCAATATGCCTAGCATGTTGGGACAGATTATAGATAATCGTTTCATCACGGAATTAACTGATGAACCACCCATTCCTACTGAAGAAAGTGATATTAAATGCAGCAGTTGCACAGAGGATGCTCTGGCATCAAATTGGTGTGAAGAATGTGCAGAATATATTTGTGTTAATTGCGTGCTGGCACATCAAAGGTAATTTTTAATTGCTATATCTTTAGATGTATGTATATACCATATAACACGGTAGTTACATTCTGAAAACCTACCGTGTTATGCAAATACATATTATTCGGGACAAAAGTTTAGTACAAAAAGAGGGGTTAAGTTTCAAGTAATTAAAAAAAACTAGTTGGTATTGGTATTTTGCCTTGAGGCAAGTTACATGAACTTCTTGATATGTGCAAATAATGGACTTAATCAATAAAAAATAAATTAATTTATGAGTGATTAGTAGCATTTCGAGTAGATTTATTACACATCATTGAAAACGAAAAAACACGTTAACTCGTAGCATTTTCTAAAAGCAAATTTGCAAAAAACAATAATTTTTATAATTGAACCAGTTCCTGTAGGACTTTAATGATTTAGTTTGTTCATTAAGACCAAGTACTCTATCGTTATACCAAGTAAATCGTCTAATTTTAACAAACGTCAAAAAACTACTCATTTTCTCAATCCATCAAATGTCTTTTAAATTTTCGGTTTAGCCGTTTTTGAGAAAACGTCGATTTACGGCAAAAAATCTGTTCACATACACACACACACATACTTTTTCCAAATTTGGTTTCATTCGATTCAGAATGGCTAGAAACTTCGAGAAAACATAAAATTAGCAAACCGGATTTTTTGATGAAAACAAACTTCTCCTTCGGGAAGTTAAAAACATGCTATGTATTTTAATTTAATAATAAATATTATTATATTTATTAAATTTCCTTAAGATGTAGTAATGTTAAGGGGCCAATTCTGCGGTAATTCAGCCGATAACATAGTTGTTATGCCAATGCTATGTTATGTTCATTTCTTGGTAGTAAAAATTGTGAAAATGTCTATTTAATTGCTGTACGATCAGGTGATCTACACATAAAACGGTATGTTATAAATGTGCATCACAAAGATGCAGTTATCATAACATTTTTTCTGGGTTTGTTTATATGTAAAATATGTCTGATCGCACAGCAAAGAAATAGCGTTTTTAGTTTTTACTACCAAGAAAGAAGGATAACATAGCGTTACCATAACAACGCTGTTATCGACTGTGTTACCGCAGAATTGGACCATAAATGAATTATATCATTTTTTGTCATAACTAACAAACAAGTTCTTTCCAAGCCGATCATTTTTTGGAAAGATACTCTCATTCTCTGAGCATTTTTTTATACTATCTACATTTTCATGCGGTATTTTTTGCAAAAAAAAATTATATTTGCGATTGCTTGCTTCTCGTGAAAAGAAATTTACATATTTATTTATTAATACAAAGCACATGCAAACCTACTTTTATTAAAATTTTGTGCTCATTTTATTTAAACGATTTTTGTTTGAAAAAGTGACTAACAGTCCAGATGAGTCTAGACCTTTTTTTTGATGGAATGTATGAGCTTGAATAAACAATGTCAAATGAGTTATTTATTGAGCTATTGTATGGAGGTTTTACTATTTTTATATTAGATAAAGATTGTTTTTTATAGGTTTTACTATATTTTTCATTTTATTAGGGTATTGCTCAATACTAAAACAGTGTTATAGCAAACCCGTTTTTTAAAAGTACTGTGTTGTGTTATAAGGGAGATGGACTCAATTGTCAAACCATGTTATAGCGAATCCGTGTTATAGAAGTAACGTTTTATATGGGGTTTACTTGTAAGTGTAAAATTTTTCATTGTTGAATAATGGTGGTGATCTCAGGACAAAGTAATGTGTTTTGGTTTAAAACAAGTGTATGAGATGATAAATGCTTCTTACAACAGTATGGTTCTGAGATTCTAAGCTTATTTTAAGAGGTATGGCTCTTGACAAAAATGACAAAGCTGAGCTGATTTTTTAACGTGTTTTATATTGATCACCATTACTATAATTAAAATTTGTTAATTATTATTAGTTGGAAAACTATTGAACCGCCATCATATATTGATCACCATTATTTGTTATTTTTTTACTCATATAAGATATGTTATATGCTTGCAAAAGTGCAAGTTTATGTTGTTCATAGAACTGAATGGGTTTGAAAAAGCACAGTGAAAATAAACGAGTTTTGCAGGACTATTATTGTATCCTATACAGTTAAAGTATGCGCATATATTACTGTAAAATATTAGCTTTGCTAAGTTTCATTTTTATATAGGTTCAGAAGACACATTTATAAATAATTTGATTATTTTAGATTGAAAATAACAAAGGAACATACTATAAAACCTAAAGATAGTGTGAATTCATCTAACCACAAATCTGGGGCCAATCAAAATTCACCAAAGCTTTATTGCACCATGCATCCTCAGGTAAAAATCAACCTAATTAAAAAATGATTATACATCTATTAAGAATAGTTGTTTATCTATTTATAATTATTTGTATATGTTTAGGAGATTCTGTCCCTATTTTGTGAAACCTGTGATAAGTTAACTTGCCGTGATTGCCAACTAACAGGCCACAGGGATCATAAATATAAATTTAGCCATGAAATTGCGGATGAAGCTCGTAATTTTATTCATAGCTTATTAGAAGAAGTCAGGTATGCATTATATAAATGACTTCAATTATTTATGTTTTAATTACTTATTTATTGTTTTATTCAGCTATAAAAGGGTTTTGCTAGCAAGTGCTATGAAAGTAATAGATGAACGACAGTCACTGATAACAGATAAGAGGAAATGTATTGTGCAAGAAATTGCTCAAATGGTTATCAGGTATCATAAATATATTATAGTTTTTAATCATTAGTTGATACTGAAATTATTCAATGTATTAAATTTAATAATTAAAAAGATTTATTATATTCTAAATATTCATGTACTTATCTTTTTCCTAGTAGTTAATTAGGGAGTTATTAGCATTGTTTTAAGTTATTAGCTATTTTCTTTTCATTTTTTGAATAATTTTAAACTCTTTTCAATGACTTCACATTTTTATCAGGTTGACAAATGCTATAAATACAAGAGGAAAACAATTAGTAATGAAGCTAAATGAGGTATGCGAGTTAAAACAAAAAACTTTGAGTGAAAAAAAATTAGCATTAGAACAATTATCACAACAGACAGATCATTGTATAGATTTTGTCAATGGGGCATTGGATAAGGTACATATATTTTAATTTTTGTATACTTGAATTTATGTTTTTTTATAATTTAATTTATTGGAATTATAGTGTAGTGATAGTGCAGTTCTGTTCAGTAAACGCATTGTGACTAATCATTTACAACGCATTAAGTGCAGAAGAGCCGATATTCCAAATCCTGAAATTCCTGTAAGGATACATCTTGCTTTAGAAAAAGTTCCAGATTTAATAAAAGGTATATTTACACTACTAAATTTTTATAGTAACATGTTATATGTGTTTGATAACTACTCACTAAATCTTTTTAAATGTTTTAACAGCGGAATTTTATGTATGTAAATAATAACACACATCTATTGTTATTTTAGTTATTTCATCTATTGCAACAATCGTAGTTGATGGAAAAACATATTGTTCATCCGCCCCATCACAGCAACAAGTTCTACCTCAGCAAAATTTGAATTCAATGCAATCACAAACAAATTGTAATCAAAATCAATCTCAACAAAGCGGACTTTTGAGACCAATGGGCACACCATCACCCTCATCTCAACAACAATACCGGGTTGGAATGCATAACATGCCTCCTCAACAACAGCAGTATATGCCACCAGCATATTCATCCATTCCAAATTTGAATCAACAATCACATCATCAGATGAATTCATCAGTGATAGGTGAGTTTGTTTTTTTTATGTAGTTTGTGTAATCAATTCAAAGCTAATTAGCGAACTTATTTGATTTATGAAAGTCATACCACAATAAGCGATTGTACAAAATATTGTCAAATCAGATTGGCTAAATATGTATTGTAAAATATGGCAATTTTTATTTGAATTTTTGTTTTGCACCTACGAAATAATAAGCTCGTGATGATTGATTTTAGAGCAGAGATATTCTTTCATATTATTCTTTTAATATAAGTACTTTTTGAATAGTTTCTTGTTTCTTATTATTAAATATTTCAATCTAAGTTTCATTGATCACTTTTTAAATGCGTTTTACATTTTATTATGGCAGCACCACAACATAGACAAATACTTCCGATGGGAATGATCCGAAGACAATCTCCAAGCTTACTTCGACATCCAACTAATATTGTACGCAATCAGCAAGTCAGCTCCTCCACGCATCCTCAAAATATAGGTATTTAAAAATTATTAAACAAATATTATTCTCTTTTCTATACATCTTGTAATACTTTTTTTTTGTATCATTGAACTAAAGCGTATAAATTAACATTAGAATAGAAGCATAGAAATTTATTTGAAGTTATTTCTTGTTTTTTTAATGTTTAATTTAATGTTATTTTTGACTACATCAAACTTAAGTTTATTATTTGCGATTAGCATACATTCTTACTAAGCAATCAATGTAACATATTTAAGAAATCTGCTTCATTTCATTTGCTTTAATTATTTTTAAAAAATCATAAATTTGTCATTTTAAATTGCATAATGCCAAAAACACTTTCAGATTTACATAATAAGATAGATAACTGATTGACTATGTATTATAAAACACTTTTGCAAGGATCAAGTGTATACATATTTAATTTCATTCATTAATATCAGCATGATTAATTTATTCTACAATGAGGATAATTGCTTTTCATGAATTTATTTAAAATATATTCAAAAATAGTTAAATCTTGTAGAAAATATGATAATAATATTCAGTTTTCATAAACTTTAAACGTGTTGTGAATAAAATGATATTTTGTGCAAAAAGTCCTTTTTTCTGTTATATTGTACACAAGTTTTTATGGAACAATACTGACGAAAGGGGAACTAAATTTAATCAGATTCATATTTTGCTATTATTGCAATATTTGAAATATTTTTCATTCGCAAATGATCTAATCTATGATATATGAACAGTTACATTTTGTGCTACAAGATTTCTGTTGAGTGGTTCATGAATTGCAATAGATATCTGTTAAAATTGTTATAAAATTAATCACAATTTAGATGTAAGCCTTAGAGGTTTATTAAATACTCCAGTGCAACAAATGCAAGTGCAAAATCCAGCTGCTCTTCACTGTCCAGATTACAATGCCATAAGAACTCCATCCAACTCTGTTTCGATGTATGCATCAAGACCTACATCATTTTCAGGTAAAAACTTACTAATTCTTATTAAAGACATAGTGGCAGTTTATTAATTTTTATTCTTACTTTTTATGCAGGGGGTAGTTATTCTACACCAAATTTGTATACTGGGAAAAATTACAATCGAACGATTAATACAAATCCTATCAGAACTGTATCACAGGTAAAACATTTTGACTTAACCACTGATATGTTATTGCATTGTAATAGTTCTTAAATTTTTCAATTCAAATTGCAGTCTTATATTCCACCATATCAGTCTCAGCAGCCCATGCATATGCCAAATCAACATCTGCAGCAAATGTCACAGCTTCCATCCATGAACCGGCCAGGACCTGCTCCTCACAAATGGCATATTCCTCAAAATGCTAACAGTATTAATGGTAAATAAATTAAATCATTTTATATAATTAATATAGTATTATTTATATTATGTTAATATCTATTATTTAGTAGGCATTTTATGATAGTGTTTATATGGATGAATACATTTAAAATGATTTTAATTATAAGGAAATTTAATTTAATAATAATTTTTTATTTTGAAAAGAATTTAGATTGTTTTAAATTTGTTTGAACTAGGCAAACTATAAATACATGGGCATAGAAAATTATTCAAATTCAACTACGCTAAAAATATATTTTATTTGTGTTTATGTTTTTATAACTTTATAAAATTTGATTAATAGGTGTTGTAACCAATGGACAAACTGGGCTTCTAAATGGCGCTAGTGGATCTTATACAAATAGCGATGATAACTTTAGAATTACAATTAAACAACCTTCACATAAATCTGGGGGTACAGTTACTTCAACAAATCCCAAAACACCGAGTCCTAATGCTTTACTGGTAATTATATAATATATAATTTTAATTATGTTTACCTAGAAAACTTTTTATAATTGAATATATGAATATATGAATATATATATATATATATATATATATATATATATATATATATATATATATATATATATATATGTGGGTCATTCCTTTACAAATCGAACGGATTTTGGTAAAAAAGAAGTGACATTTAGAATTGGCTAATATTTACGATTGAAATATTGCCGATTTTTTCAATTTTTATGAACTTCCTCTGCATTATGGTAATTATCTTCAGCTGTGTTGATCAGATCAGTATTGTTTTTTTTATTATATTGATCATGAACTCAACTTTGAAGTAATTTAAAAAAAATAATGTTTTTGCAATCATTTTAACAATAATAACAAGATTGTTTACATTGGTTTTTACATACGCGCGCCCCAACTTAAATCGATCTTGTAAAAAATCATATTGTTTCTTGTTTTATCTACTACAAAATTATTTTTACAATTCGATGGAAAGGCTGTTACATCGAAAGATATGAAATAAGATATAAATCTTTTCGAGCGCAAGTCGCTTGTACTAGTACTAATTTTAACTAAAATATTTTACAATTTCGTTACTGAGGAAAAATAAATATATTATCTAAAATATGTATAGCAAATATTTTAAATAAATGTCAAGGTATGGTTGGTGTACGGTTTGTAAAAGAATGACCCATATATATATATATATATATATATATATATATATATATATATAATTTCTTTAGTATTTATATATAAATACTATTTTCTTCTTTTTAGGGTTCAAAGGATTCTGAAAGTATTGATAAGTTCTGCCAAGAATCTGTGAATGATTTAATGGCAACTATTGCTAAACTGGATAGCATTGGTGTCCAAGTTATGCCTGAAGTAGAAAATGAAAAGGGGTGCTCCCCCCAAGTGCATAGTTCTACCGATGGAACCCCAATGCCAATGCCAAGTATGCATATTTTTAATATAATTTATTTCTTAAATAAATATACTATGTCAATTTAATAATACATATCTGAAACAAGGTTGAAGATTAAGATGCAAAGTTAAATTATGCTATATAAGTTTTTATTTAGCAAAATAAATGATTTTCAAGTGTGAAAGGTGTGAATCTTTGCAATAATAGAATTCTGAACATAGTTTTTAAAAGACCAATTATTTTTGGAAATAAGCGTAAAATTAGATTTACATCTATATTATATTTTGTAAAGTATTATTAGTAATGCAAGAATTATTATATTAGAATTGCGGAACTATTTGCAATCAGAAAAATCCTTGCTTGGTGATATTTTACTTCAACTATATATATATATATATATATATATATATATATATATATATATATATATATATATATTTGAAATTATATGCAGCTCATTTTTTAAAGTACAGAAAGATAATATGGAAATAATTCTTTATTATATGTCTCAATACTTAATGTTATTCATCATTCTGCACTCTAAAATACATTATTGCAATGAATAACAAAAACTTGAAAATCAATTACAAATTAAAGAGAAGAAATATGCATACCAAACTAGAAAAAACACAAAACAAACACAAAGTTTTTGTTATTCATTCAAATAATGTTTTTTACACTGCTGAATGATGACACACGCAAGTTTCATCAAAAGTTGGTGCATTTATTCAGGACTATAAAATGGTAAAATACTTAATAATAATAATATAATATAGCTACATATTCTTAATACAGATGCAGTGCCCAGTGAAAATAAAGATGACCCAAATGAAGATTGGTGTGCAGTTTGTATGGACGGTGGTGAGCTAATGTGCTGTGATAAGTGTCCGAAAGTCTTCCACCAGAATTGTCACATTCCTGCATTGTCATCATTGCCTGAGTATGTTACTAGATAATACTTACCAAGACTTTATTTTTATTATTATTTTTTTATCACATAAATTAACATTAGACAATTGAAAATAACTTATCTGTAATAGGATAATATTACAGATAATAATATCTGTAATATGCAATTGTTATGTGTATAATTTCTAATACTAGGCAAAATAGAATGAATTAGAGCTGTATTGTCTGTTTATTTGTTTTCTACAATGTTTTTGTCTAAAGGGTATGGGCGCATAACCATACAGAATCGGCCCCACCTTTTATAGGTATATTTGATAAATACCGATATACCAATTTTGAACTTTGTACCTCATCTTATGGCGAGATATCATTGAAAATATGCCAAAGTGGCCCCTTCTTTCAATCTCACTTTTTGGCGTAACCTTAAAATATATCGAACAAATTTTTACGTGATTGTACTCACATTGACTCAGACCACATTATGTAGAACAATCGATGCCAAAAAATCGTTTATTATTAGCTGAAAAAGACAAAATAATTTTTTAATTGTTGTTTTCGGGTAGTGCGTTTAGTTGGACCACCTTCTAATTAGCATTATTCGAAAGACTATTATTTTTCCTTTTAGTACTGAAAATATTGTTCAAATCAATTTAGTGGAACGCATTGGAAAATTGAAAAAAAAACAGAGCCAGTACACCTATAAATAGACCTATAAAATGGCATATAAATTGTTTAAATACCAGGGTGGTGTCGATTCTATATGGCAATGCGCCCATACCCTTTATTTTTCTATAAGGAAAGAACAATGTGAGGATTCCAAGATTTGAAATAACACTAGTAAATGAAAATAGAACTAATTTAGGCTCTACAAGATTTTAATGAATATTTATTTCTATAATGTGAAACAGATTTATGCATTTTTATGTATTTTAAAAAATATTTAACTGTGCTTTTGTGTTCTTTTGCTTAGCACTCACAGTTTAGCAATAACTTCAATAATAAGTCAATTACTTTTATCTTTGCAATGAGAGAATCACAAACATTACCCGAACTTCCAATTTATAGATTTATTTATTTATTTATCTACATAAAATGTTTTTTTTTTTCAAAAGTTTACTATTATGAATTTTGTTCCACAGTGAGAGTGAAACATGGCAGTGCATGTTGTGTTTTAACTTTGCTGATATTCAAATTGAAGAAAACTATGAAAATATATTATCTAACAAATTGAAAAGAGTACTTCAACGTTTGCTTCTTGAACTATACTGCCAATATGAGCCTAGTTTACCATTTAGAGAACTCGTTAGTCCTGAGGTAAGTTATTTTTATTGTTTGAGTACAAAGATCGATTATTATTGTTCAAATGATATATTGTTTTGAATGAATGTTTATTTTCACAGAATTTAGATTATTATTCAAAAATCAAACAGCCAATAGCACTAAGTACAATAAAGCAGAAGTTGGAAGATGGTCATCCCGGGGCTTACAATTCTGTTTCTGCTTTTATAAAGGATGTTAAGTTAATGTTTTCAAATGCTTATTTATACAATGATGTAAGTTGTGGATAATAGACATAAATTTATTTAAAATATTTATTTCTTAAAAAATATAAGCTATATAATAACAAGAATTCAATAAAAATGTGATTACCACAATAATCTCTAAAAGCCATCTTGCTTTTCAGCTGACTGTATTTTGAATTATATAGTTTCTTATCCTAGGTATATTAGTGTGTTACTTTTATAAATGCACATTTGATAATCAATATTTTCGAATAATCTAAATATGAATAGGATACATTTTAAGTTTATTCAATTATATTTTTTAATTTCAGGTGGAAGATATTGTTTATAAAAATGCAGTTACACTAGAGGAATTTTTTGATGTGCAAGTGCAAAAATATTTTCCTAGCTTGAATGTTAAATTGGAAAATAATAATACAGAAAATGAGTTTCCGCCAATGAAACGCATGAGAAGGCAATTATCAGATTAAGTGATTTAATCAACCTCTATACATTAGTTATTTTCATCTAACCCCAATGATTGTAAAATTGTAGATATAGTTAATTTATTTTCATTTAATAATCAATATTTTATAAATGCAAACAAGTTAAAAGTAATTAGATTGTTATAAATCTTATATTTTATTGACACATATTTTCTATCATGTGATCTCGTTAATGAGTTTTCATTACAATGAATGAGTTATAGTTAGATTGTAGATATAACAATTTTAGACACTATTTAAGTATATGCATGTTATTTACATGATATTCATATTTAAAATTTTTTATATTAGAATTTTCTTTATTTTTATAAGTCAGTTAAAAATTGTTCATTTCAATACATATCTACTAAACTTACATATATTGATTTGAGTCAAATATCATAAAAAATGATATATATTTTTGTACCTTTAGAAAGAAAGTTATTGAAAAATAAGGTACTAAGAAATATTCTGATATTAAATATGAATTCAATGTAAATTTATGAACATGATGATTGATTTGTTTCCAATGGCTTTTCCATTAAATAAGTTTATATTAAAATGTCTATACACAATTCAAATTGTGCATGATACTTTCTGTTATTGTGTCCATGAGAATTTCTTTAGCATGGAGTGTGGTGTACTTAGGGTTTACAAATATACAAAGCCTAGACAAATTGGAATTATGTTAAACAGAATATTAAAAAGCTCTCTTGTTTCGGTTTAGCTGAGAAAAATAATTGTAACAATATTGGTAACAGGC